CCGTGAGACTTCTGGCTCCTCCCCAAAGTCAAAATGAGCGCGAAAGCCCATGCCACACATTTTGAACTGATTCAGGACACCGAGGCAGCCAGGATAGTACAAATAAAGACCCTCAGGAAAGAGGCCTCCAGAGCTGCTGCAGGAAGTGGCCAGGACAATGGGAGGACTGTGCTAAAGTGAGCAGAGTCATCTGAACAAGGTTAACGGCCGTGTCTTTTACCATAATAAATTTATTTTAGAACTTCAAACATTCACTGTGTTTTCGGACCGCCTCTTCTACGGCGGAGTGGGAACAACATTTTCCATGGTCCAAGTCCCTTATCCCTTCTAATTTTGCTTCAGGTAAATCACCGGGTGTGGCCTTTACTGGCACTGTTATCGGTGGATTTTGTCCTCTGAAGACTGGGGAACAAAACAACAGGCCATGACATCACCCACAGAGGAAATGACCCATCCTGGGCCTGGGCCCGAGAGCGACACCTTTCTACTGTAAACTGGTTTTTATAAGTAGGAGTTCACTCTAAGTGATGATAAAAGTGTAGCGTGGTAAATATGTAAGCCAGTCACATGGCCCTTTACTGTCCTTATCGAGCACGCTGTACTGTCCGTGGCCGAACGTGCTGGACTTTGACAGGATTGGCAGGGAGAGGGTTTGTTTACGTCGCTCACCACCGAGCTGTGTGCGGCCGTGCTGACACTGGTGGCCACCTGGTGGCTGCGGTGCCACAAGCAGACTGGAATTTTTCAGCACCGTTGTATGGGGCCCACGTCATTCAGGTGGCCTGAAATTGATAGAAGTGTGGTCCTGGGCCGATGTCAACAGCCACACACACAGAACCGCGGAGGGACCACACAGGACGCATGGCTGTGGTGCTGGGCACGTTCCTCCTTTCCTAATGACATCCTCCTGAGCAGCGCAGCATTCTCACAGGGACTCAGGTCTCAGAAGGCAGAGGACAAGGAAATGCAAATGATTGCATCCCTGGAGCCCAGCAAGGCAGATGAGGGGGAAAAGGACGGTGCAGACCCGCAGAGTGGCCAAGCCTGGCTCCTCCTGCAGCTGGGACGAAGTGAGAGCCTCGTGCAGGTCGCTCGGCTGCTCCGTGCGCAGCTTCTGTAACCGTGAACAGGCTGAGACGCATCTCTCCGTCCGGTCCCGGCCCTCCCTGGGAAAGCTGCGCAGAAGGAGTCCACATCTGTGTGTATCTGTCCCCAGCCCATTTCTCATCCCCAACACGACCTCCCTGCACTGGCCTGAGCTGCTCTCTGCACTCTGGGGTTATTAAATAACTCAAGGCAGGTCTTCTTCATTAGCTGCACGTCTCCGTGTCTCCCTACTTTTTGTCTACATGCAGCATTGTTTTAGGTTGTTACAGTAAGTACTTTATTTTTCTTTGTGTCATATTAGCTATCCCTGCTGGCTGTATACACATCTTAAAATTAAATCCACATTCAGAAGCAGCCACGACGAACCTTGAGCAAGTGTCCATCTCTTAAAATCTTAACATTCAAGGCAAGGGTCATCAGCATAAACGTCAAGTCTCCTTCTAACAATGGAGCATTTCTTTTCCTCTGAGGCTGGTCTACTCTGCATTTAATTACCAATAATTGTCTACCAGGTATAATATGATAAGAAGTAAATATCCGTAATTAGTAATTGCGGGAGACAGTTTAATTTTTTCTTCGGAGAGATTTATTTCTACCATTTCTCTAGTGCATAGCAGTTGAAATATGAGATAATGGATTTGTATTGATTTCTAGCTGAACATTGAAGATGTATAAAACACATTCCCATAACTTTGATGGTCACGGGCTGCAGAAAGCATCGATTGGATTGATGTGATACATTTGTTTGTTTAGAATATTAACATCATGAGAAGACGAAATGCACCTCCAGCTGATGGATGTGATGTGGTGCAGGGAGAAATACAAGCTTGGGTCTCAGCCGGCTTCAGCCAGATTTGCAGTGTGGTTCTGAGAGGCCCACAGCCCGCAGCCGGCACCACCACCGACCTAGGCCCTCCCTTCCTCCTTGGTGAGGCTCTGCAAAGCTGCGCTGGCTTCGTGTGTGAACAAGGAGGGTTCAGGAACCCCCAGTCGCAGCCCTACCTTCCACAGCCTCAGGCCCGCGGCGCTTCTGTACTGGGCCCCTTGCGGAAAAGGCCTCTTCCCCTTGGGTCACGAGGGGCCCTGCTTGCCTGGAAGAGGCCTGAGAAGGTCATTCAAATGCAAATGGCACTCTGAGGAGAGCAAGTGAATTTATTTATGAGGGAGGCACTGGCGGCCAGGTCTTCAGTCCTAGGGACGTCTCTCCCTCTGAAAGAACCTGCCGCCGCTCAATCCAGTTACTGGAGCTGTTTTAGAAGATAAGTCAGAGCGAATGCAGCCGACACCCTTGCTGTGTGCCCACAGGCTGGAGGATGGAGCCGAGAAGGGTGTGCAGGGCCCGGCCCGACCCTGCTGCCGCTCGACCCTGCTGCCGCCCTGGAGGGCGGTCCTTCCTGACCCTTCCAGAGCATCCCCCTGAGGCCAAGAGGCTGGGTCGGCTCAGGAGGCTGGAGGGGAGACCTGAGCTGCCCCTTGGCCAAGCTCCGGGGTGAGCACCCAGGGCTGGCTCTCTGCTCCCTAGATAAAAACCCCACAGGAAGCGGACGGCGCTCACCATTCAGCGTCGGGCCCTCCCGCTAGCCTGGCGGGTGAGAGCCATGTGTAACATGGCCTGCAGTGGATGCCATGCAGCGCGGAGAGGGGACCCCACGGCCGCGTGCAGGGATGTGGGCAAGTGCTCACAAGCATGGTGCTGACCTAGGAGTCCGCGCTGCCCTGCGCCTGTGTATGGAGCACCCCTCAGCCGGCACAGTGTCCTCTGTGGCATCTGAAGGACCGTGGGGCTGGGGTGGGGACGAGAGGGAGCCTGCTCCTGGGCACGGTCATATCGCCCCCGCTCTGGGAAATTGCACGGCCCACAGTGACAATGGCGCAATTTTCTCAATGAGGATTTCAATAGAAAAGGAAGTTGCGAGTTTCTGCTGTTTCTTGCAGACAATATTCCTGAATATAGAAAGCAGTGCCAACCTATTATAAGAAATTTAGAAGATGCAGACAAGACAGTTAAAATCACCTGCCAATCTGCGGCTGTTTGTGCACGCTGTATCTGGATGTACTCTCCCCAGCGCCTTGCTGTCTGTGCGCCTGCGTGCGCGTGTGTGCGCGCGTGTGCTAAGCGTGATCCCAGTGCACAGCCTGGCATTTCATAGCCACTTTTGCTGTCCCGGAGCCTCGGTCCGAAGTGCGCTGTGCTGCCCTTAAACATTCTCCAGCGCCCTGCACTAGGTTCCCTTTTGCCTGTGGCCACACTCGGCGCCGGCTCTGACTGTCACCTCTCAGCATCGCCCAAGCTGCATCTGCCAGCACTGGAGCGAGAACCAGGCCGCTTACCCGACAGCGATGTCCCCGAGCCCAAACGTACTTCTTATTCTCACTGCGGACCTGGCTGGGACACCCCCAGTAGCCATCCGACAAGAAGCCTTGTGGCTGCACATGGGTCCCCGGGCCTGGTCACCCACTGGGCGCTGCGGGCCAACAGGACTGTGCTGGAAGAAGACCCCAGGGCAGGAGCCTGAGGGCGGTGCATCAGCCCTGCAGCTGCAGGACGTGGGACAAGCCATCAACCTGAGCCCTCAGCAGGGGGACAGACACTGACTCCCACCAGGATTCAGATGCGCACATAGTATTCACTGCAGCCCTGGGCAGAGCGGGGCGTTTGCCACGATACACACTCTGAAGGGGTCAGTGATTGAGGCACCCTTCGCATCGCCTGCAGCCGGGCTGGGGAGGTCACGCACTCGTGGTCCCGGCCCCGCGGCTCCCTGGCCAATCCCGGCATCACCCACTCAGAACAGCTTGCCCTGTCTGGAACACAAGATGCCTCACATGCTTTTGCCCTACCTGGAAGCCACTTTTGCCTCCTCCGTCAGCCCTGTGTCCAGCCTGTTCCTTGGCCCTTTGTGCAGATTTCTCTTCCGTCTACCGTGCTTCCTGCTCTGAGGCAGACCTGGGTTCCTGTGTGCCCTGACATAACTACTTCCCAGGCATGCCCCTGTCCCCTGGATGTGGTCTCAGACCTGCTGCGTCCCTTCAGACCCTCAGAGACCTGAGGGCGGGGTGTAGTTTGCTCTTTCTTATTCTGCGGGGCTTGGCAGGCCCAGCCCCTGGCAGATGGCCAGCACACTAAAGTTCTCCAGTGGGGTGACTCTGTGTCGGGTCTTCACTGCAATGAAAAATAACTACGAAGTCCAGGAGGCTGAAAGGGCACCAGCTTCTCTCCTTCTTGGGAATCTGTACCAGAAACCAAGTCCTAATCAGAAGAGCTGGATGAGCTGGAAGAATCTAGGACCTCAGGTCCTCAGAGCCAGGCATCCCTCGGGCCCTGTGATAACAGAGGTGGTTTCCCTGGCAACCAGCAAGCGCAGGAGCACAGAACAAAGCTCGGGCCCCACAGACGCCAGGGGCAAGGCTTCCTTTTAGGGCTGGTTCTTGTGGCTGTCTCTGTGCTTCCATCACCTGGAGTTTTTCCCCAGTGCTGGTCTGCCACTCTCCCTAAGCTGAGTTTCCTCGGCATGTGGGTGATCTGTTTCTTGAAGCTGATTTTTAAAAAATCTCTGCTCTGATATGTGTTTACTTCGTAGCTGGACCAAAGCCACCTTCCTAAAGCAGCGAGGACGCCCACTGAAGGCCTGCTGTCTCTATGAAAACGTGCATTCAGCCAGGTGTGGTGGCACACATGGGTAATCAGAGCACTCTGGGAGGCTGAGTCAGGAGGATCACAGGTTCCAGCCCAACCTGGACAAGACCCTGTCTCAAAACAAAAAGCAAAAGGGCTGGGAATGGAGCTCAGTGTGAAGACCTTGGAGGCAGTCTCCAGGCCTGCCAAAGTGAGCATGTGTAGTAGTGCTGGATTCAGTGAGATAAAGGTAAGAAGGATCTGAGGGCACAACAGGCAGGGTTTTTTCAGATATTTTTCACTTAGATATAATTGTTGACAGCGCATCACAAATCAGTTTGTCTTACAAACTTCGTCCAATATGGTAAATCCAGGATTTGGGAAAAAGCAACAAACATAGGTACACATCTTCTGTCTGTCTTTCTCTCCCTGCACCCCACACGTGGACACATATATTCCTACACACTTGAAAGCAAAGCTTTTCTACCGTCAGCTCCCACTGTCCATCAGAAAATTTAAACAACTTAACAGTCATTGGGATAATCATCATCCAACAAAATTAACCACAACCACCTCTTCACACAGACAAAGTCCGTCGGGGCCTAAGTGAGAACATTCCATTCTGTGCATGTCTGTAGTTCACGGTTCACCTCATGTCGTGAATGACGGAATTCACTGTTCCCCTATTTCCTTTCTAGATTTTGACTGAGGAGATGGCAGCTTCCTTCCTTTCTGCTTTGTTTTAATTAGCATTGCATTCTACACTCCGTGCAGAAAATTTAGAAAATTCATGAAGGTATAAAGGGCAAAGTGGCCTGGGATCTTGTGTGAAGACTTTGGTCCTGACCTTGGTTTCTTCCCGTTCTCTGGACCTGCGTCAGGTGAGGTCCTATACAGCGCCTTCTGAGTCCTTGGCATCGGGCCTCCTGGTCTCAGCACTGTGCTACTGATGTCCTCACTTAATTCATGACAACTTTGCATTCAGTGCACGATTTCTATTGTCCCTTTAACATTCCACTGTGTGTTCTTTTCCATATTATTAAAATTTTTAGCACACATTGCTTTTATGTCCGTGTATTTTATGGGGTGGATGCACCGTAGAAGATTTATTTGCATCAAGAGCAATTGGATTTGTCCATTTTTCCACCCATGGAAACTAAATGAATATTTTCATTTAGTGGAATTGTTTCACAAATATCGCAATGATAATTAAATAGTAACAGTTACGTATTTCATATAAATCCTGGTGTATTTTTCTGGCTATGGAATTCAGATGACATTCTCAGAGTTGAAATGCTGAGATAAAGCACTGGGGCACTTTATGCACCCAATAATTTTAAAAAGGGAATTTTCACAACCAAAGGCACATTTTTCTCAGACCCAGTTAGCCTAGTTGAAAGGCAAGCTAAGGTCTGCAAGTCAGTTAAATACTCAGACATCTCCCCAGCAGACAGACTGAGGGCCTCAGAGCCCGCACGATGGGATGCTGCCCCTACACTAGCCTGGCTTTGTTTAAACTCTCCAAGGGAAGCGAACAGGATCAGCAGCCGGCTTCACCATTCTGTCTGCAGCGTCCAGCAGATGAGGTCAGCTCTTTCCCTGTCCAGGAGAAGGTAGGCAGTGGTCACAGGGGAGACCCTGGCCAGCAGGAGAGGGAGGGTCCTGAGCTCATCCAGGTGTCCAGAAGTCTAACTGGGGCTGCTCTGCAGTGAGCAGAGACTGGGTCTGAGAAATTTGTCTTTATGAATGCTTTATAAGAGAAAAAATACAATTCGTGTCACACTGTTATCTTTCTCCCCTCCTTACCAAGTTGGTGGACTTCCCGTCATTCCTTAGTAAAGAAATGCTGCTTATGGCTTCTTATCTTAGAAATTCTCTCGTCACTGGGATGAAGTCCCCAGCACCTACAACTTCAGGGAGGAGAGGTTCATCAGAAGGCACAGTTTCAGGAGGTTTGCTCCATCATCTGCTGGCTCCAGGAGGAAATGGCACCCCAGAATAATCTGGCAGGGAAAGCCATTCATGCCAGGAGCTAAGGGGTGGAGAAGGAGGAGGGAGGAAGGGAGATGAACACTTCCAGCCACAGCTCTGTTGTCCCCTCTTCTAACCAGGCCCGGCATCCTAACAGCAAGTCAGCGATAAGCCCCCACCCTAACAGTTCAACAGCCCTCCCTGCAAATTCCCACCTCTGAGTGCTCGAGGCTTTGGGAGACATCCTCATTCTGAACTGTAATGACCTTCTGCCCCAGCCCCAAAAGACTCATGTGCATCTCTTTATGCGAAATGCATGTAGTCCACCTCGAAGAACTCACTGGAGCCTTCATGGTCCCAGTATTGCTGCAAAATCCAAGTCTGAAGTTGACTCTGACTCTCGTAGGAAACTTAGCTGTGAGCCCCTGTGAAAACCAAAAAGTAGTTTACACACCACTGACAGCCGGTGGCACAGGGTGAATATTCTTATTCCAGAGGGAAAGAATGGGGAGGGGGTACAAAGCAATGGGGCCAAAGCACGTCTGAAAGCCAGAAGGAGAAGCTGGAAATCCTGTAGCTCCATGTACTGCTCCTGGGGAAAAAGACTGAGCGTCAAATGGCTTGGTGAATCCACCCTACAGCATTGCTGGTTGTAGCCCTCATGGCCTCTCTCTCGGGGCAGCTTTGCTCATATGGTGGCTTCCCTTAGCCGATGCTCCAAACTCCTGGTGGGGTGGCTCCACTGTGCTTTTGGCTTCAGTCTCATAGCTTCACTTATGGACCTCCCAGGTGTTCTTCTTAAATCTGGGTGGAAGCCTCCATGCTCCCAGAACTCTTGCATTTTGCATGCCTGTAAAACAAGCACCTCATGGATGATATTAAGGTCTGCCTCCAGCTGGAGTAGTAGCCAGGCCCTTTTGCATCACAGCCTGCATGTCTGGAACACAGGTTGGGTCCTAAAACTGTGGACCACCTTAAAGGTCAGTGTGGTTTTGAGGTATCATAAGAACTCAGGAACTCAGCTGGGCCTGGTGGTGCATACCTGTAATTCCAGCACTCTGGGAGTCTGAGGCAGGAGGGTTGCAAGTTGGAGCTCAGCTTGGGTAACTTCGTAACTTGGCAAGATTCTCTCAAAGTAAAAAATAAAAAATATCTGGCTCAGTGTGAAGGCCCTGGGTTCAATTCCTAGTCCTGGAGAAAAACAGAGAACTGGCCAACTTGTAGCTGCAGCACCCAGAGTGAGACTGAATAGGTGGCTCTACCAACTGTGGGACTATGACTGGTCACCCGTGTCAGGAAGGACTCCCAGGAAGTGGTCAGAGGCTGCTGATTCACATGACTTGTTCTACACGAGTGTGTCGTAACTTGCTGTGAACCCACAAAAGAACATTTGTAAAGTTCATTTTATGAAGAGAGGGACAGAAGCAACTTTGTGATCTGCCTTGAGGACCTCACCAGTGAGTACTTCACTGCCCCACTGGAGAGGATGAGGGCGAAGAGACAGCAGAGTGGGGCACTGTGCCCACCAGTCAGGTGAGATCCATCTCAGAAGTGAGCAAATGGAGCAGTCAGGTCCACCCTCTGGCGGGGGTATCTGCTATTCTGCATCTGCAGTCACTGCCTTTCCTGGCCAATCACAGTGCGTTGACGTGATACCTCTGACTTTAAATGATGTGAGAGTGACATATTTTCGGCAGAAATCATCTTTTAAAATTTGAGTTCTCCTGGGCTTGTAAGACAGCCATTCTGTTTTCCTTTTGAGTACGACATTCAGTGAATTGCAGGTAATGTCCAACATGTTATTATCCCACAGGCCTTGTGTTAGAGACTTCCAACCTGTGGTAGGTGAAGACCAGTGGTCCAAGCCTGGTCCCAGGCCAGCTCCCCTACTTGCATTTTCTGTGCAAGCTACCTCCAACTTGTGGAGAATTTACTGAGTCACTGCTCCTTGATGAGCTGGCGCACACCTCTGATCTGGATACACTGCTGAGCTATGCATTTACTGTCTCTGGGAGAGATCATTTCCACATCCAGGAGCCCAGGGCAGGAGGAGAAAGGTGAGTAGAGAAAAACAGGAGGGAGGAGGAAGAGGCACAATACGGAGTGGCTGCCGGAGGACCCCTTCTCTGACATTTGCTTCCTATAATAACTTCAGTCTGAGCTACCCTGCCTCTGTTTACCTATTTAGCTTTCTTACCTGATAATCTCTACTAACAAATTTTGACTTGATTTCTTTTCACTCCTTGATGATTTTTCCAGTTGCCATGGGAATGGGAATAAATGAACTTCAAACTGTGACCTGTATTTCCTCAGGCTTAAAAACAAGAGTGAATGTTATTTATGTGTGTATGTGTTATTTTCAATGCTACAGACCTCACAAATCTGCAAAATGTAAAAAGAATGTTCTCCTTTATCGCTATGCCTGAACTCAGTGATTAAACAAAAATAAAAATGGAATAGTGATATTTTGGGTACTGTTGGCTTTACTGAAAAGCTAGCTGTAATCATTCTGGGGAAAAGGTTTGTAAAAATCGTTTTGCTAAAGCACTCCGTCATATGGTCAGTTCTTGTTATTAGCAGCGGTTACATTCTATAAAGTCCCAGTGAACACCCAGTGAAACTGAGATGTTCCTCCCAGCAGAAACCCAGGGATGGCTTCTTTCCTCTCTGGTCCACATGCTGTTGTCATCTGATTCTGTTCAGAGACACCATGTCTGACATGTCATCTATGCATTAACCCTGAACTCAGACCCAGGGGCTCTGTGACTTAGGCATGTGTAGAGCCATCTAACACACATAATATTCTGTAAGGCACATGGCAGCCTCCATGCACATAAGAACACCAGCTAGCATTCCAGCACTATGGGCAGGGTGGTCTGAAAAAGGGAAGTTACCGGAAGGAAGCACAAATGTGAAAATCATGCCATGAAATTGCCCATGGTGAGGACACCAGTTTCCATGCTGAGAACGGAAACCAGGAGAAGGTTGTGCGTCAGCTGCCCATCCTCCACTGGGGGATCACACAGAGGGTGCTCTTTATACAACCATGAAGGAGCCCAAGGGGACCATGAGAATGGCTTTTGAGGTTCAGAATACATTTTGATGAGGAGGCAAATTTGCAAAGACAAAATCTGAGTAATGAGGATCGACTGCTCCGGAAGGATCACCTAAGGCTTTTGTGTTCTGCAGGCTTACAGCCTTTGCCTATCCATTGCTCTCAGGTGTGAATGCTCGCAGCCTGCTTTAGTCCCTCTCCTTAGACAGAGCGTCCAAAGGGTTCAGCATTTCCCTGTTACCCTCACTCCCGATTTGCTCAGTGTCACGTTCCTGTTGCTGTGAAAATGTGGGTTAAATGATGCAGACGAGGCTGCAGAGGACACTGTCCGTGCTCGGCCACCCCTCGGCCCTTGGGAGATACATCACAGATGTAGAGGAGGTCTTCCGTGCGTTTTAGCCCCGGGGATGCCGGCCTTTAGGGAATGAGCTACACGTGGGGAAGCCAGAGTAGAGGCAAGACGACCTGACACCTCCAGTGAGCATCGCCCCTCAGTGGGACAATTCTGGGGCAGGTTCTACCTCAGCGGCTACTGTCAAGATTGGGCCCTGTTCCACACCACACACACCACACACACACACACACACACACACACACACACACACACACACGGGCTTGGAGGTGCCCCTGGATTCCTCGGCCCAGTCAAAACCCTGCTCCATTGACGCCTGTTGCAAGATGCCTTTGACTCCAATCCTGCAGTCAGGCTCTGGCCTCATGGTGTCTCCGTGTGAGGCAGAAATAATTTTCTCTGGGAACTGTGCTGGGCTGAACACCTTGCAGAATCGGCTTTGCTTCCAGCTGAGAGGTAAGTAGGGTCTGCTGGTGGACTGCAGTCTGATTCTGGCCCAGGTCGGCCCCAGCCTAATTCCTTGTGCCCACCACAGTTTCCTGGACAGCTATAAGCTGTTATTGCAACTGGAAGCAACAGAGTTTTCTTCTTCCACAGTTCTGGAGGCCAGGTGCCTGCAGTCCAGTAGAAGCAGGGCCATGGGTCTTCTGAATGCTTGGAGAGGCATTGCTCCAGCCCCGTCTCTCCCCCTTCAGGGCGCTAGCACCCTGAGTGCACCTCAGTCAGCAGGTACATCCCTCCAACCTCTGCCCCATCACTCACGGCACCCCTCCCCCAGGGCTGTTCTGTGTCCCTTTTCCTTTTCATACAAGGACATCAGCCCTTAGATACCCTGTGACTTCATCTTTAAGGTCTCCGTCTGCAGAGCTCTTTCTCAACAAGGTGACTTGTACCGGGAGTTAGAACCTGTATGTATCATCTTGGGAATAGGATCCTCCTGACACTTGCACTGATGTACCTCGTGTAGAAGATGCTGGAGAAGAAGGTCTAGCTCTTTTGAGCTCTGCTGCCCTGCGGTTTTGAGTTCAGAGATTTGTGTTATGTAGGGTGCGATTGTTCTTTTCCTGTACCATCCCATCCTCACAGCACAAGTTATGATCACTCCACACATGTCACTGCTCATTAACACACGGAGAAAGTGAAGCATATACCACACTTAGGTCTCTTGGAATAATTATATTTTCAACCTTAAGTGTTTAACTTTCCAATTCAGTCCAAAAGTATTCATGTAACATTTATGCAATACTATTAAAACCCTGGGTGAAAGTAATAATTACCAATGACATAGATTTTCTCCAGGACAATTATGTTGCTGAGGAGAGGCTTTTCAGGTACAATCAAATAAAATTAATGTGAGAATTTTCTGTCCAAGAGCTGAAAAGGGTTTGCAAAGTTCACGGTGCCTTCTGAGCAGTCTTGTTTGTGCTTTCTGCCAGGAAGCAGGGGGCAATGGGTCGATGGTATTTTATTTTTCTTTGGGTAATACCTAGACATCTCTCTGCATCACTGTTGACTGCAGGTGATAATAACACGCATAATAATATCAATGTCAGGCTCACCCTGCACAGCATCGCCTGGCAGCGCCTGCTCTGCTCCTAGGTGGCCTCCTTTCTGATTGCCTATGTTGTGAGACTTTCCTTTTTTAAATGCTCTTATTTTGTAGCAGACATATGGTTTATATCAGAACGTCCCCCAAAGCTCACGTGCTCGGAGGCGGGGCTTGGGGACGTGACTAGATCAGGGGTGTGTGATGCTCACGGGTGGATGAGTTGCCGATGAGCTGATGGCTGAATGTGATGCTCTCGGTTGGACCTGGTGGAGGAGGTGGTGACCGGGGTGTGGCCCAGAAGGGTCTCTCTCCCTCCTCCTTGATCACCGCTCACTGCTTCCTCTCCACTGGGCAACGGACGGTTTCTCCTCTGCCAGGCGCCTCTGCCGTGCGGCTGTGCCTTGGAGCCAGCCCACGATGGGCTGCAACCTCTACACACTGTGAGTCAAGCTAAACCTCCCATCCTTTAACTTGTATCGTGTCTCAGTGAGAAGACTATAACGGACAAGCAGCCAATGAGAATGAAGGCATTTGCCCCACAGTGGAGGGACGGACACATTGCTGACAGCACAACAGTGCCGCAGGGGCCCCAGGACAAGTGGAGAGGAGGCTATGCTAACAACAACAGAGCTGTGCCTGCTGCCCTGGGCCCAGGGACAGGAAGTCAGGTCCGTGTAGAGCCCCCTCCAGCTGCAGGGAGGCAGGTGCCCGTGGTCCACCCAGGGTCTGACATCGAAGCTCTACTGCTGTCTCACTGGCATTCAAACCTGAGCAGAGCGACACAGCTCCCCTCCTCTGCCAGCTCCACAGGCAGCCTCGAGTCCAGCCCCTTTTTGGTCACAGGGGTGAGAGGCAGGGTCAGCAGGTAGCTGAGACCCTGATTCCTGCAAATGCCCTCCAGATTCAATCACCATCTAGATCTAATTGTGTGGTGGCGCAAGATGGTTTCTCTGCTGGGTCTGTGAATGGTAGCAGTGACCCCGTGAACTTCTCTGCCTTCCAAGGACAGTGAGAGGGTGTGTCGATGTCAGGTGCTGAGGGAGAAGCAGAGTGTGCTGGATTTCAAGGTTTCCTAGGTTTTTCTCAGAATGGAGAGCTAAGCATGAGCCCTCTTGGCACCAGATGGAAAGACACAGCGAGCTTCCTTCCTTCTACTCTGTCCAGGAACTTGAGTCAGGAGCCCAGGAAATCCATTCCAAACAGGGGAGAGAGTTTGATTGTTTCTGCAGTAGCCAGTGCTTGGCCTGATTTCCCACTTAAGTTCCTACTGGGTGAG